AGGGCAACCAAAAAAAAAAAAAAAAAAAAGAAAGAAAGAAAGAAAAGAAAAAAAGAAAGAAACAACAACAACAGAAAAAAACAACTAATTACTTTGGAGGAGGCTGGGCCATAGGTACTCAACCATAGGAGAGGGACAGGGGGTCAGGTCCCCCCATGCTCTGCTGGGCTAAATATGCTGAATAATTTATTCTTACGTATTAGGACTGCTATGAGGGTTAATAGCTGTGAGGACCATAAAGCTCTTGACCTTGAACTTGGCGCACAGCAAGTACTCCATATATGGAGACCAGAGGTCTTTTGCATGCAACAGGTTAAGGGTGGCACCAGCTCCCCTGGCCGACTGCTTCCAGCTCCCTGACAGACAGGAACGCAGGTCTTCCTAGGCCCTGCCGGGAGCTCTCCAGGAGGGTGACTTGGAGGGGGTGAGGACCAAGAAGCTGGGAGGTGAGATTAGGGCATCGGGTGGTGGAGGTAGGGTGTCCATTCAGCACTCTGGACAGAGCCCGCCTGGGCCGCCTCACTGGCCCTCATCGAGGCCTGGATCGGAGGGCAAGCGATGCTCCCTTCGACGGTCTGCCAGGCAGTTCGCGGTGTGGCCTGCAGGAGTGGCCGTTGCCCCTGTTCGGGGGAGGGCAGCCCAGAGCAGATGGGCGGCGGACGCCAGCCAGTTTGCTGCAGCAACGGCCACGCGCTGGAGGCGGACCTGGAGGGCCGCTGGGGAGCGCGCACCCCGTCACGTGACCTCTGACCTTCCTGCGGGTGCGAACTCGGAGACCGAACCGGTGAAATGAAAATGAGGTCCGAAGGCCTTTGGGTTGCCGCAGCTTCTCTACTGGGATTCAGTTTCCCAATTCAAAATAAAAGAAAGGTAACCGAAAGATCCCTACTTGGCGAGCCGCCTCGGGCTACGGAGTCCTTATAGCCCGGGCGGGGCCGGCTCCCAAGCAGCGAGGGCCGGAGCAAGCCGCGACCTCTGTCCTGGCCTCGGTTCCCTGGTCTAGCTCAGCCCTGCAGTCGCATAGCAGCTGGTGGTGCGAGTCCCTCCCTCTGTTAACCCTGGTGGGAGCTACGGCTGGAAACTGCTGGGTCCCCTGCCTGGGCCCAGGGCGGCGCTCAGAGGAGGTGCGGAGCCAGAAAGTGGGGAATGAATGAAGGGTGGTATTGGAGGAGTGGCCACAGCCTGAGTTGGGCAAGGCCTGGCCCCACACGCTCTTCCTGCCCTCTGCCCTCACCGCTGTGAGTCTGGCAGCGATGGTCCCTGATGGCGCCCACCCCACCCCACCCCCCCGAGTGCTCGGGGAGCGCCTGGGGCCCTCTGCCCAGCCGCAGCTGGGACGCGAAGGCTAGGAGCGGGATCCCGGGGGGCACCGCCGTCGCCCCTCCACCCAGCGCAAGAACAAAGGCGGGAGGTGGGACTGGCTGGCGGCCCGACTCCGCGGGGCGGGGCGGGCGACGCCGCTTGCTTAAAGCCCGGCCGCCGGGGTGGCGCGCACTCCTCTGGCACCAGCCTGAGCGCCTACCGGTCCTCGCTCCGGGCCTCGGACTCCCACCGTGCGGGCTCGCAGGTGCTGCCGCCGCTTTCCCACGGATCATGGGGCTGCCTCGCCGAGCGCGGGACGCTGCGGAGCTGCGCAAGGTAGGAGCCCGGGACTGGAGGATGGGGCAGTGAGCGGGCGGGAACCAGGGCAGCCTAACCACTACCTGTGCGCCCGCCGTCCAGCAGAGCCTGAAGCCGTTGCTGGAAAAGCGACGCCGTGCGCGCATCAACGAGAGCCTCAGCCAGCTCAGGGGGCTCATCCTTCCGCTGCTGGGCAGGGAGGTGAGTGCCGGGGTCTAGCTCAGTACCACAGAGCAGGGATGTCGGGGGTCCTGGGGCGCACAGCGGGGGAGGGCGGGCAGCATGGCTGCCGGAAGAAGCTGAGAGGGCGCGCTGTGGCCAGGAGCTGTGCCCCGGGCGAGCGCAAGTGTGACACACGCTGAGGAGCCGCCCGCCTCGGCCACCGCGCGGGGTCACCCAGCTCCGGGCCAGAGCGCAGGGCTCAGAGCAGCTAGCCAGAGACATGTCTTGTTTGTCCGCCTCTGTTCTCCTCCCTCGTGGCCGGCCGCAGAACTCCCGGTACTCGAAGCTAGAGAAGGCTGACATTCTGGAAATGACCGTGCGCTTCTTGCAGGAGCTCCCTGCGTCTTCCTGCCCTGCGGCAGCGCCTGGTGAGTGAGCCCACCCCGCCCAGCCAGAGCCCTGCTCCCCGCACCCCACACGCGCTTCATGCCGCCCTCTGTCCCGCAGGGCCCTCCGACAGCTACCGCGACGGCTACAGTGCCTGTGTTGCGCGCCTGGCTTGCGTGCTGCCCGCCTGCCAGGTCCTGGAGCCCGCGGTAAGTGAGCGCCTGCTGGAGCATCTCCGACGGAGAGTGGCTGGAGCCACCCCGGACAGCGCAGGGGACTCCCGGGGCCCGTCCTCGGCTGCCTGGCCACCGGCACCCCCACCTGCGCCCTCACCGCCTGCACCTCTGTGTGGTTCGGGCCTCTGGCGGCCGTGGTAGCCTCCTCGCTGGTCCACGGATGCTGCTGATTATGAGGACCTGGAGCGCTGGGCAGGTTGAAGGCTCTTGGTGGCTGCTGTTCCCACCAGGGATGAGTCCAGTACCCACATCCGGCCGGATCCCGGATGTTTGTGACCAGGGCTGCAGACTGACAGCTGCAGGGGCTCAGCTCCAGGAAGTAAGGGGAGTGGCCCTGTTTCACCCCCAACTTGGTGATGTCTGGCCAGAGGAGAAGGGTAAGTGGCTGCAAGACAAGGAGCCCCCTGACCAAGCTGGTGGAGATGGTTCTGGAACTGGGCCAAGGATCACTGCCTGGGTACCGACACACCTGCCCAGTGCTGGCACCAGACCAAGGCCTGAGTCAGGAGCTCACCTGGGCCAGGTGCAGCCATCTGCTCCAACTGGCCACTGCCCTCCCAGCCTTGCCCAGGCCTACCTTCTGTCCAGATGGACTTGGGAACCTCTGGGCACACAGCAACAATGGTTGGAGGAGCTTTGGTCATTCCCAAGGCTCTGCAGAGGACCAGAGCAGGGCAAAGGGACATACGGGCTTGGGAGCCAACACTGCCACTCATAGCCTCTCCCGCCCAAGGCCTCCAGTTATAGAGGCAGTGTACATCCAGGGGTCTGCGCTGTGGGGCAGGAGGGCTTCCTTAGGTGGTCTTGGAAAGGACTTGCTTCTCAAGCATTGACTTAACACCTGTGCGTTACACACCTGGGCAGGTGCTCTTACAGTGTGGGGAGGTTGTGGAGCAAGAATGAAGCTGCCCTGTGGCCTCAAGGATGCATATGGCGGCTCGGCGCCTATAGCTCAACCGGCTAAGGCTCCAGCCACGTACACCTAAGGTGGCGGGTTCGAATCCCCAGCCCGGACCCGCCAAACAACAATGACGGCTGCAACCAAAAAAAATAGCCGGGCGTTGTGGCGGGCGCCTGTGGTCCCAGCTACTTGGGAGGCGGAGGCAGGAGACTTGCTTGAGCCCAGGAGTTGGCGGTTGCTATGAGCTGTAATGCCACGGCACTCTACCCAGGGGGACAGCTTGAGGCTCTGTCTCAAAAAAAAAGGATGCGTATGGCTCTGGAGAGTCTGACCCAGCACAGAGACAGTGCCAGTGTGGGGTGAGCAGGGGCCATCCTGCTGCACCTCAGGGGCTGAAGGAATGGTGGCAGGTTAAGGCACAGAAACACCTTTCCTTATTTTCTCTTGCAACTACTCCCTGCTGCTCCTCAGGACTGGCTACTGGGAACGACTTGTTCTTAAGACTTACTTCCCGGTAGTGAGTGTCTAAGAGAAGGCGGGAGCCCCTGCAGCCCACCGTCAGGCACACTCCTGCCATTTCCCAGGTTTGCTGAGGGCGCACAGGGGGAATTCTCCCCACAGCTCCCAGAGGACCCTGTGCTAGGGACCCAACTGTAGGGGCAAGAAGACAGAACTGATGAGGGGAGGGCATGATCACTAAATCAGACTGCACCACACAAGCCATGATGACCTTGGGCCTGGTTGTGAGGCAGGATACGGTGGAAGCTCTGGGCGTTATTGAAACATTTGATGTGAAAACGTCAGGGTGAGGCCCCCAGCAAGGCTGTGCTCTCTTCCCACCTTTCAGGGTCTAGCTGGCTGGACTGTAGGCTCCTGAGGGTGCTTCTGTGTCCCCAAGGCACTGGGTGCACAGTGGGTGCTGAATGAACATGGTGGACTAATGGGCCGGGGTGCGATTCAGCCACACAGTACTGAACTTGGGACCATCTGTCTTTTGCTTCAACTCCCACCCAGAGGCCCCTGGGATCACTTGTAGATATTTACTCCTCAGGGACAAATGTTGGGGAGGGCCCAGAGAGGAGGGAGGACAATTCCTTCTTATTTTGCCTGTTTCTGGGAGTCAGTGCTGGCTGCCACTGCCTCCCTGGACTGCAAGGGTTAAGTAGAGAGTGAGGTAACCCATAGCCCAAGCCCACCTGTGACTCCCAAGTCCCTCCTTGTACCTGGAACCCCAAATGAGGCCTGCACAGGACGTGCTCCTTGGCTCCATAAATAACTCTCAGTGTAGGTTTAAATGCTGTGAGCCAACCAACTAGGGACCCTGGCCTCTTTTCAGCCATGCCCACCACTTCTGGCTTCTGAGTGTGTGTGACTTGCGTTGATCTGGCCCCAGTCAAGTGACAAAGAAGATAGGCCAGTGACTCACAGAGCCAGTGCTCTGGGGAAGCTGAGTCAGGAGGCGAACCAGGCCCTGGCAGGGAGCCAGAGCATGCCCAGGCAGGTGAGGTTCTGCACCCCAGGTAAGAAGCCAGAGTTTCTCAGCAGGGGTATCCAAGAGCTGCCCAGAAGGTCTCAGTTGGTGCCCACGCTGGACTTGTGAAATACAGACACCCAAAACATCCTCTTAAGGTGCCTGTGGGCACCTCCTGGAAGCTCCTGGGGTGTCCCCAGAGTCCTGTCTGATGACCAAAGGTGAGCACAGGGCAGTAGGCTTCAGTAGGAGGGAGGCTGCTTCAATCAGGACATTTTATGACCCTTAACAAGTCCTACACCTTGCACAATGGCCAGTTCTTCAAATGCTTATTTCGAGATGATCCCATTTCTGAATCTGCCTGTCTGATTATATCCCAGCTGAAGAAAAGGCCCCCATGTCTCTCTCTCATAAAACTAGTAGGTGAAGTCAGACATGGTGTTTCAGGCCTACAATCCCAGCACTCTGGGAGGCTGAGGCAGGAAGTTCCCTTGAGCTCAGAAGGTCAAGATCGGCCTGAGCAAGAGTACTCATCTCTACTAAAATAGAAAAATAAGCCAGATGCTGTGTACCTGTCTGTAGTCCCAGCTACTGGAGAGGCTGAGGTAGGAGAATTGCTTCAAGTTTAAGGTTGCATCAAGCCACTTACGCATGTATGATGATGCCACTTCATTCTAACTGGGGTGACAGAGCAAGATAGTGTCTCAAAAACAAACAGGGCCAGGAGCAGTGGCTAACACCTGTAATCCTAGCATTCTGGGAGGCCGCGATGGGTGGATTGATGAGCTCAGGAGTTCAAGACTAGCCTGAGTAAGAGTGAGACCCTGTATCTAACATGGCCAGTTGTTGTGGCAGGTGCCTGTAGTCCCAGTTACTTGGGAGGCTGAGGCCAGAGAATCACTTGAACCCAGGAGTTTGAGATTGCTGTGAACTATGACACCATGGCACTCTAACAGTGAGACTCTGTTCCCCGCCCCACCCCCCGAAAAACCTCAAACCAAAACGAACAAACAAAACTAGTGGGTGAAATGATTCAATGGCTCAAGGAAACCTGGAGAGCTGGCTGTCGGGGAACTCATCATTGAGGAGATGTGGCCTTGGGACAGGTGCCAACCTGTTTTTTTGGACCAGGTAGTTAGGAGAAGTCACATCTCCTTTCCATGACAGTGAGGACAGAGTAGGCTGTCAAAGAGGACTCTCTCATCAGCATTAACAAATTGCTGTGCCCCACCTGTGACCTCAGACTCCTGCTGGAGAGTCTCCCCCACCCCCAAGGAGCCTGCGCTGGACTGTCTGGGAGAACCATCCCCATGACAGATACAAGAATAATGAAAGAGGTTGAAATAGTGCGAGGATTGCCGAAACGTGACGCAGAGACACAAAGTGAGCACAAGCTGCTGGGAAAATTGTACCTATAAAGCTGCTTAACTCTGGGTTCCACAAAGGTTCAATTTGTAAAAAAAAAGGGATGCCTATGACACACAATAAAGCAAAGTACAGTAAAGCAAAGTACGCCTGATTTTTACAAAACATTCCAGGTTGCTAATGCTGTTCCAGAGAAGAGCTAAGCCAGTCAATGGCGTTGTTTCTCCTGATGTTACTGTCTTTGGGGGGTTTTTGGAGACAAGTTCTCACTCTGCTGTCCAGGCAGGAGTGCAGTGGTGTCATCAGCACTCACGATAGCCTGAAACTCCTGGGCTCAGGTGATCCTCCTGCTCAGCCTCTGGAGTAGCTGGGACCACAGGCATGTGCCAGCATACCTGGATAATTTTTAATTTTTTTTTTTTGTGGAGACAGGGGTCTCACTAAGTTTGTTCAGGCTGGTCCCAAACTCCTGGCCTCCCAAACTACTGTGATTATAGGCGTCAGCCACTGCCCCCCACCTCCTCTGGTTTTAGTTCTTGTCTGAGTCCCCGTGAATGCGGTTGTGTCTCTGGGGGCTGAGTGTGTGAGTGCCTGTGTGTGTGTGTTCCTGCGCACCTAGGTGGCTGGGGACGCCCTTTAGAGAGCTGCCTGGACGTGCGATGTGGGGGAGAAGGCAGCCACCCACTGAAGGTTCTCAGTGACTAACCAGCTTCACTGGGGTTTTCCGAGGCCCTGGCAAAGCCCCAGGCGCCGTAAGCAGCTCTAATAAAACTTGAGTAATGGTTTCAGGAGCGTGAGAATGAGAGCAGAGGACCTGCCCCACACATGTGGTGTCTTGTCACATGTGAGGTCCACTGTGGGGCAGCAGGGAGCAGGACCGAGGGACTCCCTTACCTGTGGATTCTTTTTTTTTTTTTTTTTTTGATACGGAGCCTCAAGCTATCCCCCTGGGTAGAGTGCCATGGCATCACGCTCACAGCAACCTCCAACTCCTGGGCTCAAGTGAGTCTCCTGCCTCAGCCTCCCAAGTAGCTGGGACTACAGGCGCCCGCCACAACGCCTGGCCATTTTTTGGTTGCAGCCATCATTGTTGTTTGGCGGGTCCGGGCTGGGGATTCGAACCCGCCACCTTAGGTGTACGTGGCTGGCGCCTTAGCCAGTTGAGCTATAGGCGCCGAGCCTGTACACAAACATTTAATCCTTTGTGGTAATGTTTTGTTTTGTTTTGTGTCTTGTCCCTTAGTGCCGATCCAGGAAGCTTGTGAAACTCAGATTTCCAGATCCCACCTCCAGAGGTTCTTGTTCCCTGTCCCTGAGTCAATGGCTGCACGTTAATCTGCTTTAGATGCCACATCTGAGAATGGTGGTGCCAGGGACTGGGGGAAGGGAGCCTGGTGAGTTAGT